TTATCTAGTCTCTAGGTACTAATAGCTATTCTAACTATAGCTTTTTCTTTACTTCTATAAACTACTAGAGAATAGGCTTAGTAGATATAGTTATACTCTAGGTAGTTATCTTTGCATATCTAGTATAGCTTCTACTACAGACGTACTTTAATTTTCTAGTTATATAGAAATAGCCTAGAGAGTTTCTTTTCTTAGAATAGCTTAGTTAGGTGTACCTTATAGAAGGGGTTCTAGCACCTACCTCTTTCTACGCACCTTAGTTACTACTACCTAGCTTTTCTAGCTTTAGAGTTATTTATAGAGAAGCTCTAGTAGATTTTCTAGATATATAAATATACTTTCTTGTCTATAAGATATTCTACTAATCTAGCTACTTTCTTAAGAGCGTCTAACGCCTTCTAGAATTCTTTATTAGTAAACAAGATATTCTAATATACGTGTTAGCAGCTCTATACGTTATAAGATTCTATGTATATCTAGTACTATTATACGTTAATACGTTATTAGATAGTTTCTAGAGTAAGGTATTTTATATACGTTAGATATTCTAGTATAATAGCTCTAACCTTAGTTAGGTACTATTCTAAGTTAACCTTATCTTTCTAGTATATTATATAGCTATTATTATAGTATACTATCTATATAAGGCTATTATAGTTTATCTAGATTATTCTAACTATTTTCTTCTTCTTTAGGTATTCTTACGTAAAGTGTTCTTTTTTCTTATAGACTAGGTATAGTTCTTTCTTAAAGTACTATACCTTTTTCTTATTCTTCTAGGTTTATTTCCCTTTCTATAGAGTTCTAACCTAGTCTAGGTCTATAGAATCTCTTTAGAATATAGTCTATAGTTGTCTTATTCTAACTATTAATAGTATAGAGTAGTTTCTACTCTATTAACGTTCTAGGTTTTATTTATACTACTAGTTGTTAATTTTTACTACTATCTCTATAGTATTGCTTAGGTTTTCTAGTTGTTTAGCGTACGCGATGTTATTCTTAACTAACTTCTTTAGCCTCTTGTAGAAGAGTTCTACTAGCGCGAAGTTATTCTAGTCTAGGTAAGCGCTTAACTACCTAAACGTTACTATATACTAGAATGCTAATCTAGTCTATTATAGTCTAAATAGCTTTTCTTAGACTACTTTGTATATATTAACTTCTCTAAACGTTTCTCTAAGGTGCTTTATAAACCTAGTCTAACTTTTAAAAATTTTATTTATAGACTATTATATTCTCTTTATATTACTCTTATTTTCTAGCTAGTCTAATATATAGAGTTTAGCCTATATAAGAGCTTCTTCTTCTATATTTATTATAGCTCTTAGAATCTTATTCTCGTTCTATAGAAATACTATAGCGTTATATTATAGGTAGAGCTCTATAGCTACTAGAAATACGTTAAGATTCTCTTTCTTACTATTAAAGCGCCTAGATAGAGCGATCTTAGCTTAGGCCTAGCGTTTTACTATAGCTAGCTCTTCTGCCTATTAAACGTCTATCTTCTAGAGTACTATAATAACTTATTAGAGTTCTATAATCTATTCTTCTATAGTTAGCTTCTAGGCTTAGACCTTTCTAGATTAGGTTCTAACTATTAATATAGTTATTCTACTCTTTAACATTAGGTAGTTATTTTATTACAAGCTATTCTCTTAACTAAGACTAAGGCTTACTTTTGTAAAGGGAGGTAAGAGGTGTACTTTAGGCTAGAATCTTTAGTAATAAAGAGGTAGACGTAATAATACTATAAATTATAAGTTACTATAGTAATTTAATAAACAAAGTAATAACTATAAGAAGCTATAAGAAGTAAGCTTCTTCTAGTTATATATATATGCCTTCTTAGCTAGATTAGGTACTAAGACCTAGCTCTTATAGATTCTCTAAATTAGGTTCTAATCTATAGATTAGGCTCTAATTCTTCTAATCTATCTAATCTATATTACGTAACTCTAATTATTTCTATAACTCTGCACGTAATCTCTTATTCTGTAACTCTAGGCTTAGCCTACCGTTTTCTCTATTCTAGCTAGCTAGCCTTGTTTCTAATTCTATAATTGTAACAAATAAGAAATAAAACTTTAAAAAAGTCTTTATAGAGTTTTCTTTTCTAACTATATATATATATATATAGATAAACTAGCTATATAAGATTATATATTATAAGATTAAATATACTATAAGCCTTCTATATATTTAGAAGTAATAACTTTAATATAGTTTTAGTATATTTTTATCTTTTTAACTATACTACTAAAAAGAGTTTACTTTTATATAACTACTTAAAGCTACTATATTATTAGTTAATAAGCTCTATATAGTTAAAGCCTACTATAATTTATATAATAATAAGTTTATATAGCTAGATTAACTATATATATATATATATATATATATATAGTTAGAAGAGAAAACTCTAAAAAAGGTATTTTTCTAACTTCTATCTCTTATTACGCTATACTTAGAATAGCTAGCGCTATAGAAGTTTTCTAGAAACCTTTACTACGTTATAAATACTATATACTATAAGTTTTATAGATTATTATATAGATATAATAGTACTAACTAGAAGTAAACTAGATTTTTCTTAATAGTTAGTTAAATACGTATAGCTTTTTAATTACGTAATATATCTTAGTGTAATTTTAATAGTAGGTGTATATAGTATAGTTCTATCTATATTTAAATTTTTATAGAAAGATATTAAGGTTTCGCTTAGTTATTTAAGAAAAACGGGTTAATTTTTGTTAATTTTCGTTGCCAAGAAATCGTGGGGGGTTCGATGATATACTGTGGCTCACCACCTAATACACGGCTCTACCGTATGCACGATTTTGGATGCCTACACCTAAGAACTTTTAAGGCTCTACAACTACATGTATACTGTAAAATCACGAGATTTTCTAGTGTAGCAATTAGAGAAGCTGCCTAAAGGCGCCTATAAGGTTTTTTATGTACGAAAGCGTTTTAGAAGCTCTATTTTACGGGTGCGGCGTAATCTAGCTAGTATAAGGGCTACATCTATAATTAATAAGAAATCTACATTAATATTCTTCTTATTAATAGAGAACTTAGAAGAAGGTGTAGAAGCCCTCTATTTACCTCTTTTAGACGTCTTAACGTTATTTTTAAGTTGTTTATTTACCTTACGTGCAATCCGCGCTTCCTCTTTTTTAGTAGCCTTTTTCTACTACTCCTGCAGGCGGATTTCCTTTGCCTGTGCTCTTATTTGCTTCCTCTTCTCTAATTAACGTGCCTTCTTAGCCTTCTTAGCTTCCTTAAGCTTAGTTACCTTATCCTTTTAGTATTATAAAAGCTTCTTATTAGCCTTCTTCTAGTCTTGCTAGTTACGTACCTTCTATACTTTGTTTAGTAACTAGAACACTACACTACTATAATATTCTTAAGGTGTTTTAAGTAGTAGAGGCTTGCCACGCTACTAGCGCTTCTTCTTATTAATTAGAGCTTCTTTAAGTTGCTTATTTTTATGTTATAGAAGAGTCTTCTATACTAAGATTACGTAAATTGTATAACTAAGCTTCTAGAAGCGTTTATTATAGATATTCTCTACTACCTGCCTAAGTAGTTACTTAATTTTTTTCTAGTTAGAAGCGCTAAGTACTAACGTAGCTAAGTTGCTAGAAGATAGCTAATTAGCTTTCTGTATATTAAATTGCTTTAATATTATAGTAGAGTTAAAAGGCTCTAGTCTAGTTAACTTAAAGACTTTAAGAATAGTTTTAGCCTTAAATAAGGCCTTCTAGGTAGTATTAAACATATAAAAGAAATCTCTTTTAGTTATAGCGTAGATTCTCTATAATCTCTCTATAAAGGCTAATAGTTTAGCTAAGTAAGTAGCTAAGAGTAGTTTAAATATATAAATATCTAGAGGCTATAGTATATAGATAGTATATAGTAGAAATATAGCTAGAAGAATTCTATTATTATTATAGAACTTAATAAACTCTATAGTAACGTGTAATCTATAGCTATTAAGAATTAGAAGTTAATTTAATTGTTCTACTTTTACTTGTATTTCTCTATTAAATACCTACTATAGCTATGCTAGCTCTATAGAGTTATTTGTCTATTCGCTTAGTAATAAGCTAAAAAATACCTTGTATAGTATAGAATTAAAATCTTATAACTAGGTATTCTAGATATTTCTAGAAAGAGCTTAATATATAAGCGTAGGCGTAAGAGTAGTTCTATCTATACATATATATATAATAGTTATAATCTACTCTTAATTACTATTCTAGAGTATTTGCTTAATTTTTCTATTCTTATAGCGCCTCTTAGAAAACACTCTCTTTATTCTACTTAATACTCTAATTAGAAAGCCTTTTTTATCTATATTATATGTGTAGTAGAGTAGAATTTTGTACTAATTAATTTTTCGTTGTAAAAGCTTAAAATATAGTAAGTACTTAAAGGCAGAGTTAGCTCTTTTGCGTAAGAAATCTAGGCCTAATATCTAGCGTAATATAAGGTTAATATTGTGTTAATTTATAAAGCAATCTGCCTAGTTTTTACCTACAGGTTTCCTAGCTATTTCTAATGCGAAATTTCGGATTATTTGCCTTAAAGGAGGTAGTTCTTTAACACAAAGCTTATTAATATACTGTATAAGCTGTTTTTCTTGTGTGGTGTTAAGATTCTGGCTGTTATCGACTGCCGCCGCATTTAAGTGGGTAACCTTCCTGTGGCGCCGCGACAGCGTTAAGCGATCAACACCATACTTTTTGGCGTACTCTGCGTAATTAGGTGTTTCTCCCAGCTTCAGCGATTCCAGCGCTTCAAGCGCAGCCTCAATACCTGACATATTGGTGGAGATATGGGGGGTGGAAAATTCTGAAAAATTTCGTTGAACCGTGCATGCGGTGGGGCCGTGCATCGGGTGGTGAGCCACAGTAGGGGGTTCGATAATAAAGTACGTTAAGATATTCGCTTATAAAATACGTTAGCTAAGAAAAGCTTTAGAGCTACTACTAGAGTAAATAAAGCCTAAATAGCTATATATTAAAGTTAATAGTAATCTAGAATAGTCTATATAAGAGATACAAGATAGCTATATATCGAGAGTTCGTCGCCGCTTCCAGTCCTTCTGCTGTGATGTGTTAGGCATAGCATCTTCTGCAGCGGAGACTTCTTTAGCAGAGCGAACGTGCGTCTTGGTGGGGCGCTCTTTTTCCTTGTCGTCTTCCTCGGATATCCTCCGCTGCTTCCTCCTATGTGGTGTGGCCAGAGGACTTTCGGCGGACAGCGGTGGTGTCGGGAGCCAGTCTGCTTGGCGTGGCCGCCTACGTGGCCGGTCTGGTGCTGCCACTGTTTTCCCTGGACCGACCCCGGCGTCGATACCATTGCCGTCTCTGTTGTTGTCGCTGTCGCTGCCATCGTCGGAGGTGGCGCCCTCAAGCTCTTGCAGCGCCTTCAGCTCGGCGTTGCGCTTCTCTTTCACCTCGGGGGGCGTGCGCCCGATGGGCCATTCGTCGGCGGCCTGGCGATACATGGCCTTCTGCATATTTGTTCCTCCAGGAGCGCATGGAGCTTCCGGGATAGTGTGGCAGCGAATTCCTCGTCGTGTGTTTTCTCGAACACTGGTGTAGCCGCCCGAGGCACAAGGTAGGCGCCGTGCGTGGCAACGATGTCGAGGCAGTTCTGCAAGATCGCGCTGCTGTTAGTCGATGGGCCGCAATGCGAAACTAAATCAAAAGGATGCAGGCTTACGACGAGCAGATTTTGGCTGGCCGTGGTGATGGGTGGGCTGTCTTGCCGCGATGTCATGGCCGCGATGGCTGTGTGCAGGGACGACAAGAGTTGGCCGTTTTGCCGGGCTGGTTGGGTGGAAGTTGGAAAGGTGGGGAGGTGCCTTTAAATAGTTAACTAAGGGAGAAAAATCATGAGTCAGCACGGGTGCGGCGAGGGAGCGCTATTACGTGACCGAATATGTGGGGCACGACAAGAGGGTGGTACTAACCCTAGCCTAACCACAGTTGGAAGTGACAGAACACAGGGAGCGGCATCATTATCAAGAGAAACGGAGATTCAATTGCTACAAGCACTGGATACGGTATCTAGTGCTAGTCCCTCTCTTGCACAACCATGACATGCCAGCCGGCCGGCCTTCCAAACAACGCTCACTTACACCTCCCCATCTTCAAGGCTATACTAACCGTCGTCTCTTTACTTGCGAAGATTTGGGTAGCAATGGGCCCCAAGCTGGGTGCTGGAGAACCTCGTCGATGTCGGGCCGCCAATTATAAAACCCCTTCGTCCCGGTTCCGTAACGTAAAGACAGCCAGACTGCGACTGCTCGATCTTGCTTCCTCTGGTAGGGTCCGAGCTCAACCATCTGGGATTTACCTAGAAGGATCTTTGAATCCTTGGAACCTTCGCTAACCATCTCCTCGGCCTATTGTTGTGGCAGAGCGGATGTCTGCCACATGCAGTAGCTGATTCGCTGATGCTGCTGCCATCCTTCCTTCTCCACTGCACTCCACTCCACTTCACATCACCTCCTTGCCTTACCGACCCGACGAGACCTTTGGCATCGCGCCTGTCCACAACGCCTGTCGCTCTGCCTAGCAGAGCAAAAATTTGCTACAGGTAGTCACACGAGTTGTTGACTACTGTCAGAACTTCTTAAAAAGTGCCCGTCTCACTCGTAAAACTGTGCCCAAATCTTCTTTGCGGGCTTATAGTCACTTCGGGGCCACAGACCTGCAGCGGCCGTTATTGGGCTGTTGGGATTCGTTTCCACGTCCCGGCATGGACAGAAAGACGCCAATCCCGAATGACGTTGCACGGGATGACACGGCGCTTTAGCAGCTGATCCGGCACAAGGCAAGTCACATCTCGAACCAACCCCCATTCCCCAACCTCCCCCTGCACACCACACATCTTTCCCACTGCAAGAACATCAATAATCGGTACGCCAGTTCCAGTCCAACGACCCTATAATACTCGGAGACTGGACGGTCGGGGCGGGGTTTTCCTCCCTTGGCAAAGGACTGCCGCAGGGGCAGAGGCTACGTGGCGTGGTGGTCAGGGCGCGAAGCGACGATGGCGCGGTGCGCGTGGGCGGCGAGATGGGCAGCGACGTGAAGGTGGAAAATGTTTTGACGGGACCGCATCTCGAGGACGAGCATTTCCTCCTGGTTGTGGAGGCCGGCAACTGGTGCATGACATTGGGCAGACCGACGTATCGTCTTATACTAATGTAATAAACACTAGACGGACCAAATAAAAAAAACATCTGCCATCATTCTAGGTACTACTGGCTCTGTTCCATTGGCTGAATATAGGTAGCCTCACTCTGCATGCCGTGCTCCATGACCGCCTTTGCAATGCCCAGGCCGAACTCCATCCTCATGTCCCATTCGGCCGGTCCAAACTGGACGGATGGTGGAGAGCGCACGTCGAATGGGCAGTGGATTTGCACCGGTGTGTCTGTGTATTTGTCCTTCAGAAAATCCAGCAGATTGTGCAGGGGTATTGTCAGAGACCACCCGCCCTGCGGCTTTGCCCCAGGGGGTAGATCGGCGTGGTGTTCCGTCTCCTGGTCGAGGCTCTCTGGCCGGTCTGGCGGTGCAGGCGTGCCAGGGAGCCGAGCGGCATAGTGCTTCATCGCCTGAGCCAGGCCCTTTGGCCGGGGCAAGTACTGCGAGTAGTTGTCCATGGTCTCAAACAGGCCAGGCCACTGCACGGCTTCCCTCCACCACTTCCCAACCGCCTCCATGTAAGTCGTCGACTTGAGCCTGCCTAGCAGATAGGGCAGGGTTCCGAGAGCGCAAAGGAAGAACGCTGCGCGGTTTTTCTTCGCCAGGTCTCTAAGGATAATGCATGCGTTCTTCCTCACCCACGCCCTCTTGATTGTGTTTGGGATTGTCGCTGCGAGCTCGGTGAAATTCCGCAGTTGCTCGATCTCCGCGGTACCCAAGTCGAAAGCCCCATCTCCGAATCTTGCATGCTGTGTGGTCAGAAGGTCCGTGAGGTCCGTGTCTGTTCTAATCCGGTTTTTGGCGTTGCCTTCCGTTTGAGCGTCCGCCATTGGTTGTGTGATGTGGCAAGGGGCTGGGGTTGGTGAGCCGAGGTGTGGGGAGGAGAGATGAAGTGAAATGGGGCGAGGAGAGATCTATCGTATGCATAAATCCGTAGAAATCTTAGCGACACCTAAAAATTCGCGCGCGCGCAAGAAGTCTTATATAAATTATAACGTACTTTACAAGCGAGCTGGTCACACAAGCGAGCTGGTCACCCTCTCTTGGCAACGAAAATCAACGAAAATTAACCCGTTTTTCTTAAATAACTAAGCGAAACCTTAATATTTTTCTATAAGAATTTATATATATATTCTCTATAGTATATTACACCTTATAGTAAAGTTGCACTAAGATATATTACGTAATTAAAAAGCTATACGTATTTAACTAACTTTTAAGAAAAAATCTAGTTTACTTCTAGTAAGTAGTATTATATCTCTATAATAATATATAAAACTTATAGTATATAGTATTTATAACTTAATAAAGGTTTCTAGAAAACTTCTATAGCGCTAGCTCTACTAGGTATAGCGTAATAAGAGGTAAAACTTTAAAAAATTCTTTCTAGAGTTTTCTTCTCTAACTATAGATATATATAAATAATCTAGCTATATAAAGTTATATATTATAAGATTATATATACTATAAGCCTTCTATATATTTAGAAGTAATAATTTTAAGATCGTTTTAGTATCTTTCTCTCTTTCTATACTATACTACTAAAAAGAGTTTACTTTTAAATAACTACTTAAAGCTACTATATTATTAGTTAATAAGCTTTATATAGCTAAGAGCTACTATAATTTATATAATAATAAGTTTATATAGCTAGATTAACTATATATATATATAGTTAGAAGAGAATACTCTAAAGAAGATATTTTTCTAATTTCTATCTCTTATTACGCTATACCTAGAAGAGCTAGCTCTATATAAGTTTTCTAGAAATTTTTATTACGTTATAAATACTATATACTATAAGTTTTATATATTATTATAGAGATATAATACTACTAACTAGAAGTAAACTAGATTTTTTCTTAAAAGTTAGTTAAATACGTATAGCTTTTTAATTACGTAATATATCTTAGTGTAACTTTAGTATAAGGTATAATGTACTATAGAAAATATATATATAAATCTTTATAGAAAAATATTAAGGTTTCGCTTAGTTATTTAAGAAAAACAGGTTAATTTTCGTTAATTTTCGTTGCTAAGAGAAAGTAACTAGCTTACTTATATAACTTTAATATAAGAAATAATATACTATAAAGAATATATATATATAAATTTTTATAGAAAAGTATTAAGATTTTACTTAGTTATTTAAAAAATATAAGTTAATTTTCGTTAATTTTTCTTACTAAGAAATTATAAAGCTTTTAATAATATAAGACTTTTAATAATAAAGTATATTCTATAAAGCTTATATTTTAAGTTTTATTAGTATAGCTCTAATAGTTATAAAGTTAAAGAAAAATAAAATTTTTTAGAAACTATATACTAGGTAGAAATATATACTAGCTAATAAAATATAATATATAATATAGAATACTTTTAGTACTTAGTAAGTAATAAGAATTTTCTCTAATATAGCGAAACTTAAAGCTAAAAGACGCGAAAGTAAAAGTATGCTAAAGCACTTAGAGCTAAGCTAAGCTCCGGAGTCACGTTTATCCGTCCCGACAACGGAGTAATCCTCACCGCCACCATCACATGACACGGTGAGGTACGCGGGAATCGATTCGGACCACGCAAATATTGATACAGACCACATGCCAAGAGCCCAAATCTCGGGCGCCTGTTCACGGTGCTGCAGACTGCTGTTCGGCTGCGACGCAGTTCCGGCTGCGCGTGGATTTGACTCGCACGCGCCGCCAAGGCCGCCAACAGAGAGGACCCCACCACACCGACAGACAGGCAACCACAGGCCAGCGCGACTCATAACATCCATTCAGCCTCTCCCACTGCCTCTCTGACCTTCTGTAAATCTGCTACATGTCCGGCTTGCGCTGCGCTGGCCAACGCAAGCGTCCACCTCCGGGGCACTCCTCGTGTGCAGGCACAGCACCACCTCCGCCCAAGAGGCTGAAGTCCTGCAGTAGCTCGGCCAGTTCAGCGTCGCCAGTGCACTATTTGGATACTCTTTCGAAGATTTGGTTGACCAGGGAAGCACTGAGAGAGCTTAATCGAAGGACTAAGCGAATCAAATCGACTTATCAACATCGACCAGAAGAGGAGCCCTCTGTGTTCCATTGCGAGCCACGGAGGTGTATGATTTTGAGTTGTATAACTTCTGGGCGGCAACACAAGGACTAGCTAGCAAGCTTTTGCACAAGGAATAGTCGGCAAGCTTAAAGAATACCTTAGATACGTTGGTACATGGTCGGCAAGCTTCTCCACGTCCACGGGATGATTTTATTACATGCTTCTTTGGTGACGGCTCCGTGCGAGTGAGCTTCCTTCCCCATCGCTCCCAGGACCCTCTCGCCGTGCGGGGCATCACGCCATGCCAATGCCAACATCTCCGTGCGGGGTTTTCTTTGGCAGCCACGACTTGCAGAGACCCGATCATGTCATGTCCTAGCTGACCAACACAGGCTAGGTGCGTGCTGTTGCAGCCAAAGTTCTTATCTTGACGTTCGCCCCCGAGTAGAGAGACGCACCTCTACTCAAGCAAAATGTGTACCTACATTATCTGCACTTGTGAACCTGCCTTGCCAGCACCCGGTGATGATGTCGCCCATCGGTCCCAGACTTTTGGTCTCAGGAAACTTAGATTGTCTAAACAAATTGGTGATTTCTATCTCTTGAAGCCCAACGTATGGAGGTTTGCCTGTCCAGATTTCGTACAGGGTAGAGCCGAGGGCAAACAGGTCTGCCCGAGTCGATTTCAGGTCGGCTCTAGGACATTTGTGGCTCGCAGTCACCACAACGGATGGCTCGGAGCCATCCAATGAGGAGCCACTAAAGTCGAGGAGTTTCGCATGTAGGCTGTCGTCTAAGGAAATGTTGCCGCACGTCAGATCCGCATGAACGACATTCATTGAATGAACAAAGGCAAGCGCACTAGTGACTTGTTGAGCCCATTGAAGGCGTTGATTGGTATGAATCTCATGTGTTTGGATGAATTGGCGGAGTCCATGCTTGCTCGCATATTCTAGTCGGATGCCGGATTCGAAGGTACCGTAAAACTTTAGCAGACCTTCGTGCCCGCCGTGTTGTTGGAACCGCTCGTAGATCCGTCTCTCAACTTCAATAGCGGGCTCGTCTTCGATTTGGTGGGGATGTTTGACGACAGTGTTGGAGGACAACTCTAGGTATACCATGCTTGTAATTCCGGAGCCAAGGTAGTTCGTCATGTTGAACCCGGTTGGGAATCGAATAGTGGTCATCTTTTGGAGACGCGGTGGAGCGGTCTAAGTCAACGTAACTCGTACAGCTTGTAAGAGCAGCTGTTCGTCGCTAGAGGTATGATTCTTCTATAGTTGTAGCAGCGACGTAGCTCGAGGCACGTTGGTCCGCGAGGAGGGGCGCGATTGTGGAAAAGGAACGGCCGCGAGCTCGAAGACAGAACGGACTTAGTCGAGAAACGATGTGAATGCTGTAAGCAGTTCGTAGCTAATGCGGTCCACCTCAAGTCGCGTCTTGAGAAGTCGCAGATCGAACGTGTTATTAGGGATGCTCGGAGGCGGCGGCGGAGGTGGCTGTCTGGGTTGCAGCTTCGTGTCTATGCGGTCGAAGGATAGGAGGCTTTACTAAGGCTCTATTAACGATGCCTTAAAGCTTAGGGTGGCATGCTGCAGCCTGCAGCATTTTTTGAGGTCGTTGGCGTTGGGCTAGGTGTCCTTACCATTCTAAACCGCGTGGGGCTTAGCCTCAAGGTCACAAGAATATCAGCCACAGGTGCAAGCCACAGGTGCAAGCCACAGGTGCAAGCCACAGGCGCAAGCTCAGAATCCGTGTTAAGTGGAACGGGGAGGCGCCAGCGTGTACGGACGAGCCATCCCGTCCGATAACCGCCTATTTATAGAGTGTACGCACAAGAAGTATAAAGAGTTATTGCTTGCAAGCAACGGAAACCCAGATCAACAAACACTTTGGCCCCAACATCAGTCTGTCGCACGTCGTCTGCGACATCTGTCCTCCCTATAAGTACGTAGTTACCGTCAGTCCGGAATGGTCGCATGACAATGGCCGCCTTGCAGTTGGAGAAGCAAACGATAACGTCCCCTGGCTCAACTGATGGAGGAACCATGGCAATGAGATGATTCGTGCCGATGCAGAGCTTAGGGCCTTGCAGTCTCCCGGGGGGTTGTTCGCCGTCGAAGATCTTATTGTATTCCATTTCATAGCTCTGTTCAGAGGTGTCAAGCCTAGTCCCTTCTGTGACATCCCAGGCTACGGTATGCGGACTTCGGATATCCTTTATGGCTGAGAGATCATCGTCAACAAATGCCATGATCTTGCCCATGTACTTTTCGCTCTTTTCGCGAAGAATTTCACCGTCTTTGGAGTCTTGATAGTGCGTTTCCCAGCAAGAGGTCCATTCCTGGTTCGATTTGAAAGAAGCGACGAGGTCTGAATATGCTGGCCCGAGCTGGAGGATCGTGCCGCACATTAATCCTGCAGCTCTTATGCTAGGCCTTTCGTATATCGTCTACTCAATTTAGCCATACTTTTCTTTACAGTTACTAGTCCTGTTACATTCACCTTGAGAGGTTAATGGAGAAGGAAAAGGCTAGGCTTACCGGGACCGTGTCTAACGATCTAGCATCTTCTTCCACTCGCCCCCCAAGAGCCTGTTGTACAACACTGGCAGCTCTTACTATGCTAAGCCGCCTCTGCATTTCGAGGTGCTCATCTAAAAGGCCAGGGAGTTCTTCGACACTTGTAGTCTTGAAAACAATGAATTTCACCGTATCAGCCCACACTTCGTAGAATGAGCGAGAGTAGTCGACTTCGAACATGCCTTCTCGTTCAGATTCTACCATTCTGGCTCGTTTTTCGACTGAGTCCGTATGGAATGGAGGACGTGAAAACGGTGTCGCATCATTGGCCAACCCCAGTAGGCTGTATACTCTATCACGTTTCTCCGAGCACGCACTCTTAGAGAACTTTGCAATAAGCACCTCCAGCTTCGTTTCTTCCCTATGCCTAGCATCCCTGGTATCCGCTCGTTGCAGCATGGCTCCCAAATTATCCCATCTTAAATCCGCGGGTGAATGCCTAGCTCTCTCCAATTTCAGGACTTCCCACTCCCGGAAATCCCGGAAATCCTCAAAAGCCCAGATCTTTGCGCCGTATAGGAGAACCAGGGAGCGAGGCAGACACACCTCTTGCACAATCCAGAGTCTAGTCCAGTATGCACTCTCCACAAGTCTTGCGAGAACCTTACAAGTCACCGGCGTTGACCAGTGAGGTCTGGCATCCTTAGCTACAGCGGCCGCAAATTGGTGGCCATGACCGCCCTTCCAGTCGGCTGCCATACCACGGAATGGATCGCTCCAGCTCTGGTAATCTTGGGTGCCAAGCCAGGCGATCACATGGAGAATTCGGGTATAGATGAAGGACATCATTGCTACTTCCGCAATATCCTTTTGGTTGATGCAAACATAGTCCACCCAAAGGGTTATTGGATGCGTCAGGGAGCGGATGTGGAGGAGGGCAAGGTGGAGATTCTGCTGGATAGGAAAAGGTTGGCCATTTAGCATTATGTGGCCTGCTTTAGATGGACCTTCTAATGTCATTTGAGATTCGGAGTGGTAGTGGTTGGATACATTTGAATGCCGTTGCCGATCAGATAGCGGCGAATGTTCTCGACTCGTTGGTAATGCCGCAGCGCCTGGTAATAAAGGTTGTGGGGAATGAGGCACTGTTGGAAGCTTCGCATTGCCGGGGTACGAAGGGCCCCATGTGTAAGAGAGCGCGATGTATTTTGGCCTTGTAGCGAAAGCGGTTGACGCGAGGGTACAAGTCAGCGGCTGCATAAACTCGCCAGGCTCGAGAGTGAGGATGCGGATGGCGTCTTGCCCAGTGGGTAAAGGAGGATATTGGAAGGCGTCGTCCATCTTTGGGGCCCGATCTGCTTCAGTTTGACTCCCTGATGCAGCGCACATTAACAACGTCGGCACCTTCTAAGATGCCGGCGCGCTCAAAAAAGATCCGCCACTCTAGGCTCTGCCTGAGGCTGCCGCGCTCTTCCCGCACGCTGGCCAGCCTAACTTTGTCGTCTCCCTGGGCACAGGCGAGCCGGGACCGAGCAACTACGACGTCTCGACGAGCGATTGTCGCAGCCTGCGCAAGAACGGCGCGCTACGTCGCATTCGCGACCTGCTTCTCGAGAAGACGCGCGACCGGACGGTGCAGCGCGCCTGCAAGAGCATCGCGCTGGCTAGTAAGGTCCTCCATCGCGTCCACCGGCTCGACGTCGACTTCGGCGGCCCCGAGCCGCGGCTCGATGACACCAGCATGATGCCAGAGCTGACGCTGAAGTCACAGGCCGACCCTGCTCTTTGAGCTCGACGACGGCGCGCTCCCGCAGTGGCGCAATGGTAGGTACGCGTTCCGTGGGTATATCCGGTGCTCGATACGGCGCGGTGATGCTGCTCTCGCGGCGCCCCTGCGCAAGCTGTCCAGCAGCCGTGGTAGGTTTCGTGTCGGCGACTGGGCCGTCTCAGATGCCTCAGACGCCTTGTGCATTGGTATGGATGGCAACTTCTGCCTGTCCCTCGACGTAGAGTCGAAGGACAAGTTCGCCATCACCCTGCAGCTGGCGGACGAGGAAGCCGGCAGCGACATCAGCGGCTCGCCGTTCTCCGTGCGAAAGCTCGTCGCCGCGCAGGGCCTCGATGCGGCATTCGGCCGGTCTGACCTCCGCAAGCGCAAGAGAGCAGGTGAGGAGGAGTGGTCGTCGAACAAGAGACGGCGCATATAGCGCCGATGACACCGTCTGTCGCACCTTCTTGCTGCTCCGTTCCTGTGCTCTATCTTCCATGCAGGTTCATCCCCTTTCTCTTCCTTCCGTGTCTACTTTCGGTACCTTTGCGCTCGGGTGATGTACTGAGAGTCCAAGCCGCCTACTTTCCGACGCTCGAGACCTTGCAACAGTCATGGTTTCCACTATGTATACAAGACTAGAACGCACATCGCTTGCATTGTTGTGCCCCTCGCCACTAATCTAATCTTGCATGCATCCTGCCTAGTCTGTTGCGGTGCCGTATTTTCCCGAATAGATCACACCGCGTACGCTTTGCCCCGAATCCTGAACCCTCTGCTGGATGGAGTTGAGTGACTGGACAACTCCTGCTGCGAAGCATCGAGTTCAGTTCAGTGGGCTCTAGACCCAAGCCGTTTCGTCGTTGATCTTCCCGCGCTTGATCTTCCTTTGTGACGATGTAGCAGCGCTTGCGACGAGTTTCTGCAAGAGCTCCAAAAGTGCTGTTCACGATCAGGGGGCGACCGACAAAGTTTTCGAGATTGGGCCAAGCTGCGGTATATGGGGGACGACATCGACGATTTCAAGGATTCACTAGCAGCGTACAAGTCGACGATCAACATCGCACTCACAGATGTGCAGCTGTAAGTTCTTCAGCTCAGCGCCCAGCGTTGCTCAGTAGATTTAACCAGCTCTCCTTCTTCAGTCGCAAATCTTCGGTTACTCTGGAGCGTCTTGGAGAATACAAAGACCTTATCAAGACTGCGACCAACGATCTCGAGGCCGGACTCGAAACCATCGACGAAAAGCTCCAGTCTCTGGTGGAACGCACTGCGTCAAGCTCGGCTACAACAGAACTTCAAAGCATAGAGGACGAGCGCGCAAGCGCGCAGAAATGCCTCTTGATCTGCGCTCAGTTCTCCAAGCTTATCGATCAGATTCAGTCATCGTCGGCCAACGATCTTTCTCGAGGCTCAGACAACAGCCCTGAGAAGATCACGAGCGATGGCATACAAGAATGTAGGTCTAGCATGGAGCAGACGGCTGCAAGGTTGGAAAGCCACATGCAAGACATCCTAGATCGGATGTTGTCTAGCTCGAGCGCAACATGGCGCAAGAGGACACAAGAGATCTCGCCGGGTTGCGTGAAGGATGGAAGACTGCTCGTAAATGCAGAGACATCTGCTTGCAAGCAGACCAGCAGCTGAAAGAGAACATCAGCGTCATCGACAACCACGCTACAGGCAACGAACCAGTGCAGTTCCTGGTATCAAATGGTCAGAAGACAATCCACGGCAAGAACCGTGGATACGGGGATCAGATCAAGCAGATCGGCGGCCATCTTAGTGACCAGTCGATCCAAAAGATATCCGGTGACTTCTTGCAGATGAGTGTCCGGAGGTCTGAGCGCAGAGTCCTGGCGACGAGCGATCACCCACAATTCGAAGGCAGAGACACAGACGAGGGAAGAACAAACTGGCGGCCGGAATACGGTGGAGGCAGGACGCTCAAAACAGAACCCAATGCAAATGCCTCGGGGAGGCAGGATTACTTGGGTAGAGCTAGGGCCTGATCCATGGTAGTGATGCTGTTCTGTAAGTTCAAAGAGGAACGCAGAGGTTTCGATAATAACATCATGATCAGAAAAAGCTAGTGCTGGTGATGCCGATCGACCAGCTGGTGATTTGAGGGCCTGCGTGTGACAAGACCCAGTGAAACGCTGATCGTGATTCTTTCACTTCTAGTCGGCGGAACTGCTGGACAGCAGGCTTACGGGCTGTAAGCCTGCTGTCTCGGGGCTTCAAAGCGCAACGGCGTTCTGAACGGTGTGTCTGACAGCGTGCAGCAAGGAAGCAGCTTGCTATAACACAGCCCACCAGCTTGCGCACGTGACCAGTATGAGAGCGCATTTGATCGTTTAGAGTACACGTCGATCATGACCACATCTCCCTGAGTAGTATCTCCATCCATGCATACTCGTTGCGGAACGGCTCCAGTATCTCATCCACCCAATCGCTCCAGTCATCGTCCCAACGTCCGCAAGCAAAGATTGCTCGGGCGTACTCCCAGTAACTTGGATACCAGCCGGCAAACTCCCAGTCTATGATGACCAACTCGGGGTGCGCGCTGTCCGCTTGTGTCTCTGGAGTGCGCACAAGAACATTCTTCCGTTGAAAATCTGCGTGCGAGAAGGTGGGCTTGTGACCCTGGAAGACACCAGCGAACGTGCGAGTGTAGTAGCTCGCCTTGTGCTTCGAAAGACCATTCTCTGTGTATTTGAGAATTATGGCACTGTTAAGCTCCGCTTCTGTGTCGAAGGGTCCGGCATATGGGTTTGCTGGATCATCTGTCCAGAAGAGACCGTCCGGTAGTCCTCGACGGCCGACGCTGCAGTATCCACCAGGGGAAGGCAGCTTTCGCATCTCTCCAAAGATGCTCCGAAGCTGAAACGCAACGGCTTCCGTTGATGCGCAGTCCATCCGAGGCCACTCCAGATCCAGGCTCGATCCCTTGATACGTTCCATGACGATGTAGGTAGTATCTTGGGCGGAGTTTTGGAACATCGCGTAAACCCGCGGGACGGGGATCAGTGTCGATTGTGCCAGAAACAACATCGTCTGGCCTTCGAGGGGATCGACCTGGACTCCATACTTGACCATGAAGTGAGTGCCCACACCAACAACTTTACGTCCTGTCGTGTCGCTGAAGATCTTTTCCGCAGACTCGATGTCGTGCACTGTTGGTAGAGTTGCTGGCAGACTTCCAGCGTCTGCGACATAAGGCAGACTACAGGAAGCCATCATGGATGTGGTTGAGCGGGCAAGGAGCGAAAGGCGGATGGGGCACCGTCACCGCAGCTACCCAGGATTAAATACATCGGAGCCGAAACCGTGCACGGACTAAGAACGCGGACATGAACACCATCGCGTTGCGTAACTTGTCGAATTAGTATCCTAAATAGATTAGTAAGCTAAATATTACTAAAATACGTAAATTACGTCTACTCTATTAACTATAGTATAATATCTACTATCTTAATTACTCTTTTAAAAAGACTAATTATCTCTAATAATATACTTTATAAGCAAACCGCTTACATAAGCAAACTGCCCACGATTTCTTAGCAAGAAAAATTAACGAAAACTAACTCGTTTTTCTTAAATAACTAAGCAAAACCTTAATATTTTTCTATAAAAGTTTATATATATATTCTCTATAGTATATTATACCTTATAGTAAAGTTACACTAAGATATATTACGTAATTAAAAAGCTATACGTATTTAAGTAACTTTTAAGAAAAAATCTAGTTTTCTTCTAGTAAGTACTATTATACCTCTATAATAATATATAAAACTTATAGTATATAGTATTTATAACGTAATAAAGGTTTTTAGAAAACTTCTATACTACTAGCTCTTCTAGGTATAGCGTAATAAGAGATAGAAGTTAGAAAAATATCTTTATTAGAGTTTTCTCTTCTAACTATATATATATATATAGATAATCTAGCTATATAAAGTTATTATTATATAAATTATAGTAGACTCTAACTATATAGAGCTTATTAACTAATAATATACTAGCTTTAAGTAGTTATTTAAAAGTAAAGTCTTTTTATAGTATAGTATAGTAAAATAGAAATATACTAAAACTATTTTAAAATTTATATTTCTAAATATATAAAAGACTTATAATATATATTAGCTTATAATATATAACTTTATATAGCTAGATTATTTATATATATATATAGTTAGAAGAGAATACTCTAAAAAAGATATTTTTCTAACTTCTATTTCTTATTATACTATATCTAGAAGAGCTAGCTCTATAGAAGTTTTCTAGAAATCTTTATTAAGTTAACGTACTTTATAAGCGAATCGACTATATAAGCAAGCTAACTACTTTTACTAAGCCTCTACTAAAAAGCTACTATCTTAGTTAGATTACTCTAACTCTAAGCTACTTAAGATAAATCTAGATAAGCTATCTAACTTATCTATATTATTTTTAACTATCTAGTACGTTTACGTATTATACTCTAGCTTACTATAGTATCTATAGCGTTGCTAAGCTAGCTAGCTATCGCGTACTACTACCTCTTTACGCTACTTCTTACTCTTATTCTAATTCGCAGCCTCTCTTTAAGCAACTAGCTATAAGCTAGCTTTAATTATAAGAGTATTCTCTTTCTAAATTTACTTTCTTTTACGTAAATTATACTTCTTTTTCTATACGTTAGCTACTTAAAGCTAGGTAACTTTAGACTCTATAAGTACTAGCTAATACGCTATTAGCTTATTACCTTTCTTAAGCTAATTAAGTAACTTAATAATATAAGTTAGTAATAAATTAAGAAACTATATAATCTTTAATTAAATTAGAGTTAATTAGAACCTTACTTTAATAAGATTACTAGATATTTTATACTTCTAGATAGTAGTATTAGTAGTAGAGAGTATTAGCGTACGTAATTAAACTTTAAGCTTTAATACTACTAAATCTAGGTTAAATAGAACTAAGCTAGTATCTCTAAATTCTACTCTAATATTATTATCTATAATTAATACGTAAAAAGCTATATAAAACGTAAGTAGAAACTTAGTTTTTATAATATAGTTAATATAGCTATATATTAGAATCTTAACTTAGTAGCTATATACTACCTTTAATAGTAAAAAGTAGCTAATATTAAGTAGCTATAGAAGGTATAATAAATATACTAGTATATAAAGAGCTATAATTTTATTCTTCTTATAGTACTATTAGAATTTAATAGAGCTATAGCTTTTATAGCTATCTAAAATTAGTAGATAATATATATCTATAACGCGACTCTTAGTATACGTATTAAAGTACTTTAACTATATAATACTAACTTTATTTATTATCTAGCTACTTTTAGAGATAGCTATAACCTAGTTACATAATAGCTAGCTACCTTTATACTATACTAAAAGATAGTTCTTACCTATAATAATAAGAAATAGTAGAACCTATATATTATCTACTACTCTTACTATTATAATTACTAAAATCTACTTATAATTATCTAGTTAAAAGCTCTTTAGTTATATTTATCTCTTAGAGCTAGTAACTACTATCTAAAGTAATATTATTTCTATTATAAAGCTAGATTTATTAAAATTATACGTATCTTTATTAGTAATACTATATTTTACCTTTATATTACCTACTAGGTTAAACTACGCCTAAATAATTATAGAATCTTCTTACTTTACTTTCTAATAGTTATACTTATAATTAAGCTACGTTTTAAGCTTAGAATAGCGCTTAATAAAGTTATTTAGCTAGTTCTTACCTATAACCTTTTCTCTCTATTTAGTAAGTAGCTAATTAGCTATATCTTAAATAGTAGTAAGCTAGAGAGTAAATTCTTGCGCGTCTAGGTTAAGTATATAGTTAATTATTACCTACTCTTTATTTATAGTAAGCTTTATTAAATTAGATATTTTTTTATATCTTTTAGTTACTTTATTATATTAGTTCTTTAGCGTTAATTAGTAAACTCTATATATAGCTATAGCGCGTTATTTACTCTAGATTTAGCTAGTCTAAATAGTAGAGAAAGTAAGCTATATTCTAGCTTTATAAGAGAATAATTCTATATAGATAGCTAGACTTATAGTAGTTAAGATAATTTTTAGTAAAGACTTAGTAAAAGTAGTTAGCTTACTTATATAGTTAGTTTACTTATAAAGTACGTTATAGATATTATATACTATAAGTTTTATATATTATTATAGAGATATAATAGTACTTACTAGAAGAAAACTAGGTTTTTTTTAAAAAGTTAGTTAAATACGTATAGCTTTTTAATTACGTAATATATCTTAGTATAACTATAATATAAAGTATAATATACTATAGAAAATATATATATAAATTTTTATAGAAATATATTAAGGTTTTACTTAGTTATTTAAGAAAAATAGGTTAATTTTCGTTAATTTTTCTTACTAAAAGAAAGGTAGTTAGCTTACTTAGATAGTTAGTTTACTTATAAAGTACGTTATAAGTAAAAGCTCTATATAAGTAAAAGCTCTAAAAATACTAATATACTTTACTAGTAAATACTCTATACTACTAAATACTCTAAAAATACTAAGTCTTTACTAAATACTACTATCTTAATTATAAAGCTCTTTATAAACGCCTAATTAACTTTAGATAAATTCTAGATATAGCTTACGCTTTAGACTATTTAGTAAAACTTAGAGCTAAGCTTATAATACACTATAGCTCTCTATAATATACTATAAAAAAAAGTTTACTATTAATATAATAGAGTAACTTAAAGATATAAAAAGATATCTAATTTAATAAAGCTTACTATAAATAAAGAGTAGATAATAATTAACTATATACTTAATCTAGACGTATAAAAATTTAAGATATAGCTAATTAGCTACTTACTAAGTAGAGAGAAAAGATTATAGATAAAAACTAGCTAAACTACTTTATTATATACTATCTAAAGCTTAAAATATAGCTTAATTATAGATATAACTATTAAAAAGTAAAGTAAGAAAATTCTATAATTATTTAGATATAGTTTAATCTAGTAGATAATATAAAGATAAACTATAGTATTATTAATAAAGATATATATAATTTTAATAAATCTAGCTTTATAATAGAAATAATATTATCTTAGATAGTAGCTACTAGCTCTAAGAGATAATTATAACTAAAGAGTTTTTAACTAGATAATTATAAATAGATTTTAATAATTATAATAGTAAGAGTAGTAGATAATATATAGATTCTACTATTTTTTATTATTATAGATAAGAACTATCTCTTAGTATAGTATAAGAGTAGCTAGCTACTATATAACTAGGTTATAGCTATTTCTAAGAGTAGCTAGATAATAAATAAAGTTAGTATTATATAGTAAAAGTTATATTATAGATATATATTATCTACTAATTTTAGATAGCTATAAAAGCTATAGCTTTATTAAATTCTAGTAGTACTATAAAAAGAGTAAAATTATAGCTCTTTATATACTAGTATATTTATTATATCTTTTATAGCTACTTAATATTAGCTACTTTTTACTATTAAAAATAGTATATAGCTACTAAGTTAAGATTCTAATATATAGCTATATTAACTATATTTTAAAAACTAAGTTTCTACTTATATTTTACGTAACTTTTTATATATTAATTATAGATAATAATATTAGAGCAGAATTTAAAAATACTAGCTTAGTTTTATTTAATCTAGATTTAGTAGTATTAAAGCTTAAAGTTTAATTATATACGCTAATACTTTCTACTAATAATACTACTACCTAGAAGTATAAAATATCTAGTAATTCTACTAAATTAAAGTTATAATTAATTCTAATTTAGAAAAAAATTATATAGTATCTTAATTTATTACTAACTTATATTATTAAGTTACTTAATTAGCTTAAAAAAGGTAATAAGCTAATAGTATATTAGCTAGTACTTATAAAGTCTAAAGTTATCTAGCTTTAAGTAGCTAATATATAGAAAAAAAAGTATAATTTATATAAAAGAAAGTAGATTTAGAAAAAGAATACTCTTATAATTAAAGCTAGCTTATAGCTAGTATTATAAGCTATTCTTCTAACTTAAACTAAGACTTACTTTTATAAGAAGACGTAGAGAGTATACTTTAGGCTAGAATCTTTAGTAATAAAGAGGTAGATATAATAGTACTATAAATTATAAGTTTCTATAGTAATTTAATAAATAAAATAATAACTATAAAAAGCTATAAAAAGTAAGCTTCTTCTAGTTATATATATATACTATCTTAGCTAGATTAGGTACTAAGA